TTTTTTTTGTGTACCAACATTGCAAACCGTAAAGTTGCAGCTGTCATCACAACACCCGGGTTCTTATATGTAGAAAATGTCATAACAGTACCTAAATTGAGGTCTAGCACCTTATGTATAGATTTTTTTTTGTTCAATAATGAAAGGGATAGTTGACCTAAAAATGAAAATTAGCCTGTGTTTTACTCGCCCTCAAGGCATCCTAGGCATGTCTGACATTCCTCTTTCAGACGAACACATTTGGAGTTATATTCGAAATTGTCCTGTCTGTTCCAATCTGTATGATTGCAGTGAATGGTGCCCCTGTTTCTGAATCAGAAAAAAGTGTATCCATCCATCATAAAGCTACTCCACATGGCTCTGGGGTGTTAATAAAGGCCTTCTGAAGCGAAACAATGCGTTAGTTTAAGAAAAATGTTGATTCTTAAAACTTTATAAACTGTAATGTCCAGCTTCTGGTCGCTCAAGCAAAAGTTTTGTCAGGTTGTGAGAAAATATAAAACTGAATAATCATTGTCATAACAGCAAAATCTAATGATAATGTCCATCAGAGGAAGCATAAACAATGAAAAAAAGCAGAGGACCTAATACAGAGCCCTGTGGTACACCATACTTGTGTTTGAAACATCTCTTCATATACATGTGATAGCAATCTGACAGATAGGACCTAAACCTTGTTTAGTCATAAAATGTTAATGTTAATTCTTGTGCACAAATGCCAACATAATTCTCAAGCTATCCAAGAGAATGTTGTGGTCTATGTTGTTGATAGATCCAATAGCACTTAAAGATAGATGTAACTATAGTAAGGAACGTGGTAAGGAAGGTTTCTGTGCTACGAATTGGCTTAAATCCTGACTGAAATACTGTTTCTCTCAAATTTGGGCTAATTTGTATTTGTCTTTTTTCGCTTTAGACCTCACGGTGCTGAAAGTGGAGAGTCAAGAGCTGAATGAGATGGAAGACAAAAATCATCATGATTTCACGACTAGGGAAAAATCCACTAAAAAGACTTCCTCACAAAAAAGAGTTCAGATGACCAAATCAAACAGTTTATTCACTTGTTGTCAGTGTGGAAAGTGTTTTAGTCAAAAACGAAAACTTGTACTCCACATGAGAGTTCACACTGGAGAGAAGCCGTTCACCTGCCAACAGTGTGGAAAGAGTTTCTCTCAAAATGGAAACCTTAGAGTCCACATGAGAATTCACACTGGAGAGAAGCCATTCACCTGCCAAGATTGTGGAAAGAGCTTCACAACAGAACTAAACCTTAGGTATCACATGAGAGTTCACACTGGGGAAAACTCTTTCACCTGCCAAGTGTGTGGAAAACATTTCACTCAAAAACAAAGCCTTGAAGTCCACATGAGAATTCACACTGGAGAGAAACCTTACATCTGTCAACAGTGTGGAAAAAGTTTTACTCAAAAAGTGCACCTTGAAGTCCACATGAGAATTCACACTG